TCAATCAATGCTTATTTATATAGCCCAATATCACAAATGTTAGTATGGCAATACGACACCCTCTGTCCTTAGACCCTCACATCGTACAAGGAAAAACTTCCAGAGAAAAACCCCACAGTTTAAAGGGGAAAATGGGAGAAACATCAGGGAGACGGACGGAAGGAAGAAGTAAGGTGTCCCCCAATAGTCTAAGCCTATAGCAGCAAAACTAACGTGTCTACGTACATGCACTCCCTTAGGATAGGCTGAGGGAAAAGAGTAGGAACTAAGATGTATGCGCCACATCTATACCATGAGCACATTGCTCCTAAAAGTTTTTAAACGGGGGTATTAATATTAATAGAGTTAATGATGTCGGTTGGTCCTAAGTGTTTGCTAAGTATAAATGTAAGTTGCCATGCCTGCGGGGATCCTCACAACAGCCCAGAGGTAAAAACTGGCCTATTAGTGCATCTTTTATAAGAAGTATGTGTCTAGGACTGCATTTCTGACAGTGGTTGTCTGAAAGCTTAGACATATTTATCTTGAACTATGTTGCTTGGCGTCTTGTAGAACCTCCAGTGTAATTGTGCTGAAATGATTATGCAGGTCAGGTAAGGTAAGTGCAATAGTGGTAAAGGAAAGTTTTTGTTGTTTTCATGCTGGGCTGCCTATATGATCATTGAGATTGATCGAACTCGACTCTCACACTGTAGAGGTTTCTGTTTATTCAGTTTGCCGGGAGCTGAGTTTTGCTAATAGATGAGCTGTCTTCTTGTCCGATTGTATTTTCTAAGCTTTTATTCCCTATGTCTGGACTTTTAACTCTTGCATGCACGGGGCGGAAACTACAGATCAAAATTGGCCATTCTGGTTAACGTATTTTCAGAAATTTAGAATAATGCTCTGTCCCTGTCAGAAAGTAATACACTAACATATGATCAATTAAGCTGGACTGTGTTCTCTAAGACTGTGTGTGTTATTGCATTGGAAGGATTGATTTCAGCTTTTCTGTGGGAGCTTGGTTGATCCTTTTGTGTTAGTTAGAGAACAGTGCCTCCAGCCTCAAGAACAGAGAAGATCGATGGCATTGACCATAGCAATCAACTGTCAAATGATCAAACAAAGTCCATGTTAAAAATAAACAGAAAAGAAAAGCAACTAAAACTCTTCTAGATTGAACTTTAGATAAATCAAATAAGATTCAATTAGATTTCTTGTATTGTTATTATTCACCTGAACTCCACCTCCTATGCCATTTGATTCACAGAATACAATGTGTTTTCAAGATATTTAATATGAGTTTGATAAGGGAATTGAAGAGGCAATGGTTTTTTATTTTATCTTGCAGGACTGTGTCAAAGGAAAGCGAGCAATGCCAACAGCACTTACACATGCAGCACTGCATCTATGATAGCGCGGTAAGTTATTATTTTATTATGAATTACAGCCTCTGCATGCACATCCCCTACCTACAAAGATAGCTTACATATAAACACCATACTGTGCTGTGCTCATGTGCTTTGTGAATTATGAGCAAGCACACAAAGGAATATGCTATTGATATGTATGAGCTTGGACCACATGCTGTGCATCACAAACAAATGCACACACTCATACACACTCTCTGTCATTGATAAAACAGGACATGATCTCACAGCACCCTAGTCTATATGAATAGAAAATTACATGTGGATGTACTGGGCGTCTTTAACTTGCATCTATTCGAAAGTGTGCTCGTGAAGGAAGGTTTGAGAAAGGAAATACCTTTTTAAGACCAATTCAAACACAGAAAAGAACACATTTTACATCTGATAGGCATGTTTCCTTTGCTTATCCACTAATGCACCCACAATATGCTCCTCTCCTTCCCTCGTCTCCTCTCTATTTGGCAGCTGGCCAGTTTCCTAACATGGTGATGGAGCAAAAGAAAATTGATTTCTAAAGAGCACTGTCTGCTATTCCCGGAAATGAAATATACAACCAGTTATTAGTCTAACACTGATATTAACATAACACGACAACCGTGTTGAGATATATATTAAAGATATCTCTCTTGTTTCCGCGGAGAGATACATGAAATAGTCTAAGACTGATAAACTGAAACTTTGCTAAAGCATGCCAAATCCTTAGCAGCACTGCACAATTGTGACAATATTGGCTTTGTTTGAGAGAAAAAAGAGGCACAAAAAGCTCTTTGGGAAAGGTTGGCATCGCACTGATGCTGCTTCAATATCTTGATCATGAGGACAGGCACAGCGGGTGGTTCCATATAAGCTATTATGCAGCTATTAATGAATGTACACCAAGAAAGGTCAAATGGCCCACACACTGATGTACACAGACCCACCAACACATTAACACAGATGCACCCGAGCAAAGACGTGCGTGCACACAGACGGCAGAAAGGTCACAGCATACGGTGTGTGAGAAACAGATATTTGAAGAAGATATGCTGCCTTTTGCTATGGAGGAAAACATACACACACACAAAAGACAAACACCTACAAATGATGCGCTATCAATCTTAAAGAAACTAGCGCAATTGCACGCCTATGAACAAAGGCACTCGCGCACACTTGTGGGCATTGAATCAACCATGTCCTTTTTAAAAGCGAAGAAGCGTTTGAGGAGCATCACCGACTCAATTATTGCTCTCGGTCTGTGTGTGTGTGTCTATCTTTGTACGTGTGCATGCAAGCACTTTATTTGTATGTATAGAAGGAAAGCGAGCACTTTGCAAGAACAACATCACTTTTCCTTTTATTCCTTCAGGACTGGTTAAATTATGCCAGTCTGTTAATCAGATTCTCCCCCAGATGCAGTTCAGCACCTCACGAGACACAGAGAGAGGAAGAGTGAAATAGGCTTCTGTACTTCTAGATGGCTCCGAGCTGGAAACAGCTTCACTGCATATGTTCCACATTATGAAAAACATGTTAATTAACCTGCTTTATCTTATTTTGTATTTTTTGCCCCTCTTTAAATGTGCACTTAGTGTATTAGCTCTAAAGTACCCTATAGGGCAACACATCTTAATTACATATACATTTACAATACTGCTTTACAACATATTCTACAGTATTTAACAATAATACTGTAAGTAATTTACAAGGAAAAATGCCCAAAGTTTGCTGGTTCCAGACGCCAAAGTGTATTTGACTGCTTTTTTTTGTATCTCATGATATTGAACATTTTTGGTCAGGGATTTTGCCACAATAACCACATATTTTCATTATTGATCAATGTAATTATTATTTTCTTGATAAGAGGATTAATTATTTGGTCTACATTTAAGTCCGGCATTGATTGACATTTTAAGATCAGGTCTTTAAATGTCTTGTTTGTGAACGACTAAGCCTTAAAAGCAAATACATAAATGATCCCACAGAAGAAAGAAGCAAATCCTCCCAATTGAGATGCTGAAACTACGATATTATAATTATTACGGCATTATTGCTTGAATTTACTTTTAATTAACTGTCAAAATGGTTGCTGTTGGTTTCTCTGTCTATTGACTCTCCAATTACCATTGCAGCTTTGATTTAAGTCTGTTTTAAGAAGTCTTATTTGGCTCTGGAAACCTTTTGAAAGGCTTTTCTTCACACATTTCTGACATTTAAAGGACCAAAAGAACAATTGTTTATTGGACTGATATACAATTATACAAATAATTGTCAGTTGCAGCTCCTAAATGGTGTAAAAGGGGGAATTTCTATCTTATTCCAGCTCTGAGACACCCTGTCGCCCTGCCTGCTGCAGTGACCTGAAGTACAGTAAGTCAGAGGATGCGGATCAATACCTGTATGAAAACAGAGCATGAAGCCTCAGCTCAGCTCAGTAGGTTGGGCTACATGTGGAAAAACAGAGTGGAAATAAGAAGGCAGAGTATAGACTGCAGTGGGGTGAGAGCAGGGTAAACAAAATGTGCTTTTCTGAGGAATGAAATGGCTGTGTGATGACTCAAAGACATTTAATTGTTTAGTTCCTCACACCTATAAGTCTGAATGAGTGATATAGGGAACAGCCTGGTCTGCATGTGTGTGTCAGTGATGGTGACAGGCAGGCGAGTGCTGTGTAAAGGCCATAAGCCGCTATCATCCTGCCACAGACTGACTGAGCATTCTTCCCAAAGTGACAAATACTCGCTAAGAGCGGGCTCTCAATGAGATAGGAGCCAGTGAAACTAGAGGCAGCAAGTATCAGACCTAATCCATAATGTATCTGAGAAGTCTCACATTCATATTTCACACAAAGTCATTATTGAACCTGTTCCAGATCTTGGATTTGCAATACCGTGAAAAGTTTCTGAATCATGAGCCAAATCTCTGCATCTAATAAAACTAAAGCGGGCAGCCAACATTCTCTAAATTCATTAAACATACAGAGGTAAAATGAAATGAGCGATATCATTCGAAAAGCAGTTTGGTAGGAAAATATTCTGCTACATGTTGAAAGTGTATCAATCATTCATGACATTTATCAAGCAGAGAAGACCACCAGCCATTCTCTGGTTGCATCTTTTCTGATGTAACGATGAGTCTTGGGCGGACTACACATGTGCACCTTGGAATATGTAACAGACTTTAGTAACAAAACAAGGAATCGATGTAAACATATTCATAACTGTTATGATTATTAGTTGCAGCAGTTGACATTAGTCCAAAAAGTCAAGGTCAACATCCAGAAATGCATGAGAAGGATATTTCAATCCCGAAAGGAAAACTATGATGTTATAAAGGAGATTCTGTAATTTGAGATAAATATCATCACTCAGATCTATTTACAAATGAAAAAAACAACACAACAAAGTTTGTAGAGGTTACTACAAACTCTGCTGACACTCCAGCAATAATTCTATAGAGATATTAAGTGATTGAAGGTGCCATAGCCTTCTGTATTCTGCCTGAAACTGACAGAATAATGATCCAGATGTCATATAAGGAGGTCAATACAGATCAATAACTCATCTGTTGATCAAACTCCACTGTGACTATTTTCCAGTTAAATCCATCACTCACCTTGCGCAGAGGCAGTGACTCCTCTCCGACAACCATCCGCAAAATCCCGGTGGTTAATCCTTTACGCACCTGTGCCGTAAAATCCGTCAAAACTTAACGGGAGTCTCGTCAGGTGGAGCGTTTGTAGCAAGGCTGCTCTTCAACACTGATATCGTGTATATTTCTTGTTTAAAATCGCGCCGTACCGTCCAAAACAAGAACAGAAAACTCCCTCGCGCTGCTCTCTGTCGTGATGCGCGTGTCCTCTAGCGACTCCTCTTTAGTCCGTAGTATCGCGGAGCCGAGAAGAAACGGGGCTCTGTTGATATCATCCACCACTACTCCGACCGAAAGGCACCGAGGAAGGAAAACAAAAACAAAGTAAGCTGCACCAGCGTGAGGGAGGGAGGGGGGAGAAGAGAAGAATAAAGTGTGAGCAGCTTCAACGGGATGAATGAAAGACAGAAAGCGCTGTCGGCTCTCCCTGTGTGTGATAGTGTTCACTGAATGCTGGGTTTGCAGAGTGAGTGAGTGGGAGCACTGGTCGAGTGAGTATTTGAGCACAGTGCACCCACATAAATATCATCTTACATAAAAACAGAGAGGGAGAAAAAGCGCCAAAAATCCTGTCATATTCCACAATGGCTGTAATAGTGAACCTGTTTCATATAATCTACTAGTCTAATTAAGAGTAATGCTGCTCAGGTGTGCGTCAATCACTTGTCACATTATACTGACGAGATGTTTTGAATGACTTTCAGTCCATCTGAGGAGGTTAACTAATAAGATAAGAGTAAAAAAACAATATACAAATATTTAATACCTCCAACTTCTTTCAACAGTAAACTTTATCCATCAAGTAAGTCTTTGCTAATGTGCCACTGAAGGTAAATCACTACCAGCAATTTGAAGATGGCACATTGGATGGGTTTGCTCATAATTGTTCTATCGACATGCTCTGTAGACTCAACAAGTAACCAATCAAACTTGAAAAAAGACTGATATATTTATAATGATAAATAACCAAAAAAGAGAAATACCAAAATGCTACCAAAGCAAATATTTCTAGAGATGTTCCCTTTCCTACGAAGATGATTGCAGTATTTTGCTGCAGGTCTTATTTTGCAGACAATCTCAGAAAGCCAAATTCCCGCAAATTATCCCATATTTCAGGATGATGTGTTGTCAGGATTTGAATGGACAAACAGTTGCTTTTGAATCCCATCAAACCAAGACAATACTACACGGCCATGAATCACAGTCCAACTCAAAGAAACCGCATGTTTGGTGCCAGAATGTTTTGCATAGCCGACAATAACCTCCCTAGATCTATCAAAAATTGCATTAATTATCTGTGAACCAAAATCACTTGCCAAAGCAATCATATGTACCGAATTTGAGCTGAGCTGAAAATAATGACATTGCCATGCCCCTTTTCATATATTTTTTCTGTTCAATTATACCAAGTCTTTTTTGAAATGCTCCCATTTTCTCGCAAGTGTATGGATGTGCATTCATTCCGGGAGAATGGACGCCTATTACACGCTTTCAGAGGCTGTGACAGCAGCCCTCAGTGATGAAGCCAAACACTTCACAGCTCAGACAATGTGTACACACACGCACACACACACGCACACATACGCACGCACGCACGCACGCACACACAAGCATGCACTTACAGATCCAAATACACACGAACGCACTGACACAATACGCATTGACGAGATGAAAGGGCCAATTTATCAAACCACCAGGCAAGGCAGGCCTGAGGACGTATAGTGCCAGCATAGGTCTGGAGAAAGAGGGCAAGATGTGTCTGTGTGAGTGTGTGTGTTTAACTTTCATGTTTCCTTTACCGTGACAGTAAAGTCGTTCCTCCTAACATAACATTCACTTTTGCCTTTGGGTAATATTCAAAAGTAAAATGCATTACCTTTTAACGCTGATGCCAGCTGACGTGTCTGCAGGACAAGATAATGTTTAGTTCTTGTGATTGTCCGGTGCTTTGAGTGCATGTTTGTCCGTTTGTTGAAATGAGAAGGAGAGCAAGAGGGAGGGAGGAATGGTGCTAGTGCCTGTCCCTTGTTATTTCTCATTAAACTGCAAGATCAATGTCCATTCTCAGAGCTTTACAGCATTTACAAGGCCAAACTAATCCACTATTAGAGAGCTGCATGACAGAGCTGCTGAGAAAGGCACAGAGCAGTGCTTAGAGAGAAGCCGTGTTGAAATGAACAAAGAACATCACCAAATGGTCTCTAACTTCTGTAAATATTCTCTCTGAACCTCACAGAGGGTTTGCACAGCACTTGTGTAAGGAGCTCTTCACTGCATGGCATGGTTCACTTTTGGGATGTGGAAAAATGTACAAAAAACGTTTCGTAAGAGAGAGGGTGAGATAGATTTGTTTTTCTCTTTGTGCCTGTCACTAATGTGATTAAGGTCTTGATGTTTGACAGTGACAGATGAAAGAGCTGATGTGGGCCAGTATTGAATTATTGGATAGTGAAATGATGGAGGCGCTTCCTGGACAACAGCTACAAAAAAACTATGTGCAATGACCATTCAATATTTCTAAAATTAATCATTGATTTTTTTTTTTTAATAATGTTGTCCCAATTATTGTAATGCTGCAGAATTGGTGTAGGGAATACAATCACAAGCAGACAAAGAAAAAAATACAGAATATTTAAAAATAGACAAAGCATACGGAGACTGTTTTCATACAAGCATGACATAGAAGCTTTTGGCAGGTGCAGAATTATGCTGCTTGAATACATAAACGTAATAATAAATGAACTGACAGAACACTTATCTACTCCACTTTTGATGGAAAAGTAAAGCAACGTAGAAACAGATCCTCCAAGGGCGAAAGAGAAATCCACAGAGATTAAATTGATACACCAGCTTTCGTTTGCACTCATCCACCAACTCCCTAGCTGAGAGTGTTTATATTTAGATGTGAATAAGAGTGTGTTTATGTGTGAGGGAGAACATTTCAAATGTTAGTCCCCTGATTTTATGATGTCGGCTTCAGTGCGGTGCATCTGTTGGGTTTTGGCGGCTGGGATACTGGCCCGCTCCGCTTGATACCGCTCCAAGGTTCGGGGCAGCCTGCTGGCACTGCCAGTTGGTGGCGAGCCTGAGCGACTGGGTTGCTCATTGTATTTAGAAAAAAAAAGAAGTAAGGCCAGTTCCAAGAATCATGGTTTCAAAAGTATTTACAAAACTGATATGCCTTTGTTTGTTCATCACAGGTCACAGACACAGACGGCATGTGTCTGTATAAGTAAGTAGAATGTAGAAGCATGAGGATACAGACAAATATGGATCCATGTACTCTCCAATAAAATGTTTATTTGTAACAGGTGAAGGGATAATCCAGAGAGATGTATTTGATTTCAGTAGCATCAGCAACTCTTAACTTACAGCTCAGATCACTTACACACAGTCATATATAGAGTACAGCTGACACTGATAGCGTACAGAAGGAGCTAATTCAAAGTTAATGTGATCTTGTCGCCACCTTGAACACCAGCCAAGGAAGAAACAGCGAGGACAGAGTAAATTATATCCAGTGTCAACTTCAACACAAATTAACCCTTGTGATTAATGTATTTTTCCGTTGTAATCTACAACCTGTTTAAGCAACTCAAACTCAAAGCCCTGCTCTTATTCTTTTAGCAAAGATTGCAATAAATGTATGCGGCTTATGCCTTACGTAAGCAAAATTATGGAATATTTCTATTCATGAACAACTCTCCTTAAACCTACAAAACATGTCACTTCATTTATGCAAACCCTCATTCTTTTCTTAAGTCATTCAGTTTTAACCTTCCCGTTTTCCTCACAAATCAGTCTGCTTAACGTGATTCATAGCGAGATTGCAGACAGATCTATGTCAGCCCCCCACTGTACAAACATGATACTTGTCATCAGATGTCTAGAGCTGTATTTTTACACTAACAACATATGAAGGGAGACTGTGGCTCAGTGGATAGTGTGCTGGACTTCAAATCAGGGGGTAACAAGTTCGAGTCCCACTGCAGTCAGCATGTCGTTGTGTCCCTGGGCAAGACACTTCACCCCAAATTGCTCCTGTGGGGATTGTCCACAGTACTGAATGTCTAACAAATGACATAATGTAATGAAGGAGGGGGATATGCATTAGAGACTGTCACAGGGTTGATGTGTTATTATTTTAGAGAGTTCTAGCTATTTCATACCAATACTTGAACATCTAAATCTGCTGAATCTTTCATTGTAACACTTTACAAAGAAACATATTCTAAATATTGTTTCCTTTTACTTTACACAGTAGCACGTCTGTAGTTACAACCACAAAAACGCTGTACTTGCATAGGAGATAAACAATATGGTGCTGCTTTTGGAGAGTGGTGACCTTTGTTGATCTCCATCCATGCACATTTAATGTATCCTGCTGCGCTGCAAATGCTGTCCTCATTTCTCTGAGCATGTGGTCTGCAGTTGGTAGCTGAGGCCATCTAGAGGAAGAATGAGCACATTGCAACCTTCAATGTGTTTGTGTGCCTTATACCAATTAAGCCACATGCTTATAGCTTGGGACTTACTTAAAATGAGCTTTCTCTATTTGCAAACCAATATTTTTGTGTGAAAGTATGAAATATAAAACTCTGAAATGGTTTTATTTACATTTGTTTTGAGGTCTTAAACAGGTGTGATAGAATACAAAAAAAAACAAGGATTTAAAGAAGAAACCACCTTTAGAGGAGCAAAGATCTTTTTGTTGTCTTCACAATGTTGTTGATCATATCTGAACCCATTACATTTATCTCTTCACGTCCGCTTGGATGCTCTGGGTTGGGAATTTTTTTAATTCAGCAAGTTACTGCCCTTTCTTGGAAATCACCTTGGATTTGAGTGACACAAAACAGTTAGAGTTAAAGGTCACCTATTATGCAAAATGTTTATTTTATACATAAATATGTGTCCTCTCTGTGTAAAGATCCATTTTTATAAAAACCTGTCTGAAAATGAGCTGATCCGATTTTGGCCACTTTATGATGTCTTAAAGTTTTTTTGGCTTGTCAAATAACCAACCAAGTAACACCAGCCCATCTTATCACCTGAATCTCCTCCTAGAGCACCATTGTGTTTAATTTTTTTTAACACTTTATTTTTGAAGGTTTTCATTGCAAAGAAAAATCATACAGAATGTAATTGAGAAGTCAAATGCATACTATAGATGCAACAGTGCACATTTAAACCAGACTGCCAAAAAGCAGATCAAATATACCCCCACCCCTACCAGCATGAAAGAAAAATAACAAAAAATAAATGAGATAAGTGTACATTTTCTCACAATCGACACAACAATTAAATAAATAAAAACATACAAAGCAAACGACAAACGAAAAAACAAAATATATACAAAACTTACAATATTGCTTTAGAAATGGTAGCCCAGATTCAGCAACACTCACATATTTACACAATCTTCTTTAAAGAGTTAAG